GCAACATAACAACCACATGTAACTACTTTGAAATAAGAAATAAACCTCTTCTGTTTACTTGCAAGTTACAACCCTATTTCCAACCCATCATAAATTTAGACACTAACCGAAAACTTCAACCAAAATCCATTTCAAAATACATGCATACCGGCACACAAACAATACCAACCAAGCACCATCTATGGTCTAACACACTCAAAAACATGCATTGATATATAGACCATAAGCATGAAATTTATGCATCACCTAGCAATAGCTGACTCAATTTCTCACTTCAATTAAGCTTACAGATAATAACAGCATAATATCTCCAAAGAATTCCATTCCAATTTCTAACTTTCCAGTTCGCACTGACTAAATAAATCTTTAAAAACCTCTAAATCAACATAAAAACTCAAGGCTCCCTTTAATAGTTACTCTTACTACTAAATAAGTATATGTACTAAATAAGTATATGTTTTTCACCTCTAAAGTCACATTTTAGTTGAAAAAGGAACAAATACTCCAATAAATAACCAAAATTGACTCGCAAAAAGTTCATTTTTCATACTTCAAATGTGTATTCATTATTTTTCTTTTTAATCCAGAATTCATTTTTTTAGATCCGCTTACATTGTTTTTTTATGTACAACCAAATATAATTTTATGGACAAGTGCGCATAAAATAGGAGTGGATTCGTTTGAAGAGGCGTTTACCTATACTCCCATGCTTGGAAGCCGGATTTATAGAGAAGATAATGAAGAGGCTCCCAGTAATTGAAGACTTCATCGCAGTCGTGTATTATATTCGATGTTGCGCTCATGTACCGTAACATTCCCAAAGCAAACAACACCGTGAACCACCCCAATCCGCGGTCTTCGCCCGCTGCGTCCGATGATGATCGTCCCGGCTTGTCTTCTTTCGTGTATGATTCTGGTTTCGATGACTGTGCTTCCGACGACGATGACGGAAGATCCGACACCGTCGCTCGCCTCTGTCTAGTCGAGAGAGACATTTTTTTGGGAATTTACCTTTGCTTTTCAGGGATTTGAGAGTGAGAAGTGACTGTGAGTTTTGCTTTTTTGGGGAAAGGAAAGAAAAAGGTTGAATTGCCAAAGAGAAAACAGAGAAAAAACGGAGCTCCAAAATTATGCTTTTCTTCCTAACAAAGTCTTCCCTTTATTTTTATTTTTTCCTATTAAAGAAAATTTCGTTGTACAAGATAATGGTTTCCAGCATCAACGAATTGATTGAGCATTCATTATGAATAAATTACATTTATTTCATTTATTACTTTAATTTAATAAAAAATATATTTAATTTATTTTAGATAAATTACATAAGTTGATATCTGGTGTTTGAGAAGTCGTAATTGGTCTCTCACCTTCCATCACACTTGTCGCGAAGGTAAATTTTACACTGACGTCCTCTCGAATAAAACATATCGATATGCCATTGAACCACCGGCGGATAAATAGATTCGTGATCGATATATGTTTCTGTATCTTTATGAATACACAACCTTCAGGAATATCTATTGTAAAGCAGTGGAGCACCATAAAGATAGACTTTTTTTTAACAGTGAAATGGACTTTAAATTTTAAAATCGAATCGAGCTTGATTTTAAAATTTTCAAATCGAATAAAACAAGATTCAATTTGTTTATACCCTAAACCATAATTTATCTTTATTTTGGAGAGCCAGATGGGTTGAATTTGCTAATTATTTTAGGATTTTGAGATCATAGGCAATCCAATACCTTGATGTTTCCTTCTCATTTATAATATTCTTTTATAGCAATATTTTCTTAATTAAATTCTTTTTTTAAGAAAATCTTCATATATACATCAGGATTCCATTATATATAATATAACAATCTAAAATATTTGTCATAACAAAACTATAACTTTTACCATTATTATCTGAAATTGCCTAACCTAAAATCTAAAAATCCATAAACCCTTGCATTGACTATGGGGCTTATGAAATCCGAATCCCTGTACCGCTGGGTTTGGGGCGCGAACCGCGGGAACCCGGTTAAGGAAAATGTCACGTTGACGTTCGGGGTCCGTTTTAATATTTAAACTTTTAAATTTTTCTTTCAAAATCACACGTAGTTTTTTTATTTTTATTTTATTTTAGTATCTCTGTTAAAATTTTAATACTTTTAGTACTTAAACTATCAATTTTGATCTGTTTTAATACTTAAACTCTCATTTTTTAAAAAAATTTTAACATTAAATTTTGAATGGGGTACTAAAATAAAATAAAAAATAAAGTTTTTAAGGATAGTTACTAAAAGGAAACAAAAATTAAACTTTAAGTATGATTTAAAAAATAAAATTTAAGTACTAAAATGGACTTAACTAATAGTTGAGGCACTAAACACATAATTTACCCATCATTCTATCATACACGGTGATACTAGGGGCACTGAAAAGGACGAACTTGTGCCTCCACAACCTGTCAGAAAGATAGTATTGTAGCCTGTCAGATATCCTCCTCAATGTTAGGATTAAGCATAGAATTTATGATCCTCATACATCACAATAGGATGATGTAGAATAACGTAAACATTTGTGTCTTAAAGGGGTATCAATGTCTTGCATCATGTAAAATTTACATGTATCTCGACGATTAAAAAGAATATTATTTTTTAAAAAAATATATTTTAATAATTATATCTGTAAATATATTAATGTTGTTAATAATTAAAAAAATTCTTAACAAATACTATAATTTATATTCATACGTAATATCACCATTGCTGCCCAAATCATACTCGTATTCAGGTCTGTACTATCCAGACCCCCTCTTATCCAATATCCAAAATTATAAATTCACATATAATTAAAAAAGATAAATTATCTATTTAGTCGGTCATATGTTATTTTATTTATGTTTTGGTCATTTAATTATTAACTTTTTCAAAATCATACTTAACGTTACATTTTGTTTCTTTTTTTTTTGTTACCTACCATTCAAAAATTAACGGCAATGTTGATGTGGCAATTTTATTTTTTTCTTTCACTTTTCACTTAATTATTATTTTATTATTTTTTGAAAAGACCAAGAATGTTAAAATCTAACATGTTCATGCTTGTTGTGTGAGTAGTTGAGTGTTTAATAAAATTTCTTGATATTTTATATTTAAAGTTTAATGTATTTATTAGATAGTTTATTATTCATAAATGCGAAAATTCCATATTATGATTGGTTGAGCAGATCAGGTCATGGGCTTTGTAGCTATAAATGCGAAATCTTTATGTTTCATAGCTTCATTGGTTTTCTCCTCATGAATATAAAATCCATTCACTGTTTTTATATTGATGTTTTGTTTGAGTTCTCACTGGTTAGGAGGGAAAGCACCTCACTCAGGGTGAAAATAGTTTATTTGCAGATTATAAGTTTAATCTCTTTTTGAGTCCTAAACAAGAGTTCTCATAATATACAATCTTATTATCGTAATTAGTTTTCGATAATTAATATTTTTTATTAGTTTGGGTGACAATGAATGTTCAAACACTCTTGTAGATGATAACATGTTCGTACTCAAATCCTCAAGAGGGATAACATTTGTTGTTTTATCCATTGAGATGTTTGGTTCCTGCTATTTATATCAATTATGTAAGTATGAGATAGCGATTTGTAGGGCATTTCCATTAGGTTGGTCCATGGCAGAAAGCTGCAGGTCTGGTTTTCAACTCGAAGGGATTGTCAAAGAAAATTATGGCAGCCAACCAGATGTAGACTAGATTGCATGCATCCCCTCCCTCTCATGAATCTTGTTCAAAAAGTAAACGCCTTATTTTCTTGAATGTAATAAACTCAAAGCTTTTGAGATTTGCTATGCTTCCATGTTGATGAAGACAAACGTGTGGCTCATGAGATATAGTTTTTTTTCCTTATTTTCTTTTTTTTTAAATATTAATGAGCACACAAACAATTGAAGGTTGATATTTATTTGACGTCATCAAATTATTATAATAATAAAATATTAAAAAAAGTAGATTCATAGAATTATATTTGTAAGTATAATATGTTATTAATATTACAAAATTAAATATATATTATTTTTAAACAATTTTTATCCATGATACACGAAATGATAATTTTGCTCTTAACAACATTTAACTCACAAAAAGAGAGGAGAGACATTAATCGAGAACTTTTAATCATTTGCTTTAAAAATTATTGATCGAATAGATATTATTCTATAATCATTTTAAAATATTAAAATATTTAATATCTATTATTCATAAATTTAATGTTTGTTTTGTAATTATATTTAGTATAAATCTTAACATATTAATTAATAAAAAATATTAGTACATATTATACATAAGGTGACAATCATAATATTTCCTAATTATTGATAACACGCGCACACTCACAAATGTAATTGCTTAATTTACAACCTACTAACATTTTCTTTTAACCATTAAAATCACGTAATAAGTTGATATTATATTAATTTTAGGATATCATACATTAAATATATCATATACACTGGTTATTTTTATATAGTACTGACCATAAATAGACCTAGACAAGTAAAAGCATTATCCCTTAAAAATTTTAAATTTTAAATTTTATATATTTGTCTCCCCTTAAACATTCCTCAAATATAAAATAATGCATTTGTCTTTAATACTTACTTTAAATATATTTTATATACACGATTTAATAACATTCATAAATGGTTTATACAAGAAAATTAATATAATTGTATAATATATTTTTATAAATTTATTAACATAATACATTAATATTATAGAAGTTTGAAATCTTCACACATTAAATATATTATATACACTAACTATTTTAATAATACTACTATTGTTAATTATATATATTATAGATACACGACTTACGAAGTTTCATTAATGATTAGTGAAAAAACCAATTAAATCCAAAAATTAAAGGAAAAAATAATGAAAATTTCACTAATTTAGAGCTTGGACAAAGATTTATGATAAATTGGATACGGAAAACCTTAAGCCACACAAAGAAGCATACAAATACCTAACACGGATTTCTCTGCCACTTTCAAAAGAAGATTTCAGATTCTCATAGGAAAAAAAGGGGGAGAAACCATCTTTTTGTATGGAATTTTGGGTCCATTTTGCTTTCCATGGATGAATAGAACAAAGTTGCATTTGCTTTAAACGATTCCTTTCTAGGTAAACCCATATCTTCTTCTTTCTCTTATTCTAATTTTCAGCTCAAGAAAAGTTTTCCATTAATCATCCTTGAAGTCTATTTTGCTCAGGTAATAAGTTCTATATCTCTTTAATTTTATTTTTGCTTATTGGATTTTGATTCAATTCACCTTTTAATGGGGTTTTCTTTTTCTTATATTTTCTTTTTAGCTTTTATTATCTATTTGATTTAGCTTATAATGTAGGCGGTACCCATCTTGTATTTTGGCTTCAATTTTATGAATTAAGCTTGTATGTTGTTTATGGTAAATATTTTTCATTTCATATTTTGTTGATATTCTGATTGAAATTTATACTACATTTTAGATAATTTAATGGCAGACTGATATAAGTATCGCTTTGATCAAGTTGGTTGCTTTTATGGTTACCAACCTCTCAACTCTCATACGATTTTGGAATCCAATCACGGATCGATTGCAATCTGTAAATCTATAGCATCACAAAAGACACTGAGCTTGTGCTTGGCTCAGAGGTTTTAGTGTGCTCAAAAACATTTTGTATCAGCTTTGCTTACTGTAGGAACTGGTTGCTTTGCTGACTTTGGTATACGACTCACCATACTGAAGTGATCTATTTTCAGTTCATTTCCGATCATCTCCGCGACTGCTTTTAAACAGAACAAGGCATAAATAGATACCGAGAAATATGGGTAGTCCTGCTGAGCCAAAGAGAAGGGTGGCATTCGTGTTGATTGACGGACTTGGAGACGTATCAATACCAAAGCTTGGGTGTAAGACTCCCCTGCAGGCAGCCAATGTTCCAAACTTGGATGCTATAGCATCAGCTGGAGTGAATGGTCTCATGGATCCCGTGGAAGTAGGTTTGGGTTGTGGGAGTGACACTGCTCACCTGTCTCTGTTGGGCTATGATCCCAGAGTATATTACCGAGGGCGTGGTGCTTTTGAGTCCATGGGAGCTGGGTTGGCAATGTCACCTGGAGATATTGCATTCAAGGTGTGTAACCTGCTCTACCTTTCCCTTTTTTTCTTGCATGTCTCTGTAGATTATTTGATAATACTTTTTTTGTTTTGGAACATTCACGGAACGTCCGTCAATGTGATAAATACTATGAATTTATGGTACTATTGTAGTACTGTTAATTTGATTTCTGATTCTAGAATTTCAACTTCATAGTCAAGTTTAATATACTTTATTTGAATGGACTGTTTTGTCATAGGCTGCATCTTAGTTTCAGATTCAATATTAAAACATAGATCATTAATTGTTTCCTGAGATGACCGTATATGATCTTTTACTTGCAAATCTTACATGTTTAATCTCCTGCCAGATATGTTCAAGCTTCTGAATTCACTTAGCTCCTTTAACATTTTCCTTATTCATTTTATCAGCAAGTTAATATATAATAGTTCTATATATTTTCTTTTGAGAATGTCCATAGTGTTCTTATACATGATTACCCATTCCACTTATCTATCTCCAGTCAAATTTTGCAACTCTGGATGAGAAAACTGGCATAGTTACGAGTAGGAGAGCTGACAGGCATTTTGAAGAAGAGGGGCCTATCCTTTGTAGTGCCCTGGAAAGAATGAAGCTCCCATCTTTTCCTGAGTATGAAGTAAGAGTCAGGTACATTGTGATTCATTGTTGTAAATTTGAGTTTATGCTGTGATATTCTTTTTCTTAGTTCTGAAGGACATATAGCTTACTCGACAAGGTTTCATTTTTACATGGCCATTTTAGTTATCGGCTTTCCTATGATTAACAATTTTTAACCTTGAAAACGTCTAGTAAATGGTTATGATGGTTAAGCTAGATGGTTATGAGAATGCTTTTTTCTATATGAACTCCATTAAGGATTGGTTTAACAACTATTTAATGCTAAGTCATCATAATCAACCTCATATAGGTATGCTACAGAACACCGATGCGGAGTTGTTGTTAAAGGGCCAAGACTCAGTGGAAATATATCAGGAACTGACCCATTGAAGGACAATCGCTTACTTCTGGAAGCCAAAGCTTTAGATGACACAGATGAAGCAAGACACACAGCTGCAGTTGTTAACGAATTATCCAGGGAGATATCGAAGATACTGGTGTCTCACCCGTTGAACACAAAGAGATTAGCAGAAGGGAAGAATGTTGCCAATGTTGTCCTTCTAAGAGGCTGTGGTATTCGAATTGAGGTATTATGTCCTAGAATTTTCCAAAATGTGTATGCATTATGCGGAGAAAAACATCCTCTATCTTTTCTAATTATGTATGTAGGTTCCTCCATTTGAAAAGAAACACGGCTTGTGGCCTTGCATGGTGGCTCCCACAAAAATTATTGCAGGATTGGGTCAATCACTTGATTTCGATATCCTAGAAGCTCCTGGAGCAACCGGAGACTATCGAACACTTTTGACTTCAAAAGCAATTGCCATAGCTAAGGCACTCTCTGCTCCTTCACAAACTTGTCCTAGTGTTTTCGTACCAGGGGAGGATGAACACAAGCCTGGCAGATCAGATGGCTATGATTTTGGATTTCTCCATATTAAGGTAATGACCATATGAATGCATCATTTATTGTTATTTTTTGGTGTTTTCTTTTGCTTAATAGATACTTGTAAATAACTGCCTTTTGGGCCAAAATCACTGTTTTTTGTTCAAGTCCCCTTTTTCTGCTTCCCTGAGTTTGCAACCTCTGATGTTCAATCCCACATAAGATAATCTTGTTTTGGAATTTGCCGATTATCTATGCCAAACGTTATCCCAATTTATCAATCCCAAGTTCGAGAATATTCTTTTTTGCAATATTGCCTGGAAAAATATCTTCTTTATAAGTGGCAGCAGCCGGGTATGGTCAATGGTGAATTCTTTTTTGACATTCTGATATCACAGAGATTGATTTATTTATTCCATTTTGGCTTTATATGCGTCTACTGTCCTTGTTATGGACGCTAACAAGGTCTGATGTTTATGGAGGCCTGAAATCTATGGCATCATTCTCCATGCATTTAAGCAATGTGATTTACTTGATATTCCTAAATTGCAGGCAATAGATGATGCAGGTCATGATAAAGCAACTGTTTTCAAAGTAAAAGGATTGGAAGCTGTGGATCAAGCTATAGGACAGCTGGCCAAGCTCCTGTGGCAAACCGAATCGACTGGAAATTTTCAATATTTCATTTGTGTCACCGGTGATCACTCTACACCCGTCGAATATGGAGATCACAGTTTTGAACCAGTTCCATTTACAATATGCCAGTTGAAAGATTTAGTGGGTGCCGTTGGGGGGGCGTCCGTTGTTTTGGAAACTTCTCTGGATCCATTTCCTCTTCCGACTGTTAAGGCTGATGAAGACATTGCTTCAGAAAAGGGGGGGAAATGCAAGCAAATTCAATCATTTTCCGGAGATTCGGTTTTTGAGTTTAACGAGATTGCTGCGGCCAGGGGATCTCTTGGACGGTTCCCTGGTGGAGAGATGATGGGGATTATAAAGAGGTTTCTTAAATCAAATGCACGACTTTCATAACCTCTCAGCGTCTGAATAAGGTACTTCTTATCCGAAAAATAACCATATGATGTTGAATGCTCTTGAACCATCAACAATCCTGAATGCTCCTGCATTCTGACATCAAGTACCGGATATAGACTGCTGTCGTCGATAACTGTTCTTGTTTTGTGAGCAAAATAAGTATTGTATTTTCAGGGTATACATTCGATTTTTTTGCACGTCAAAGCTGAATCATCCACATTATTGTTTTAAGGGGAAAATAAAATAAACTACGGATCCTGACTTATAATTGAATTTTCGTTTTTGTTCAAAACATACTCTGCTATGACACATGAACCTGTGCAAATAATACACATGATCCGCATATTGCATGTAATATATTTAACCTTATTCCGACTCGATGCACAAACATCGATATCCGACGTCAAACAAGAAATCTGACCTCTGCTGGTGGACATCCCTGATGCTGCCAAGCGAGATACCTTGACTAAGAAGTGCAAGTGTTTACTGGAAAATCTAATGTTCACGAATGTGTTGGAAATAAAACTGATATTGACTATTGACAACACTTATATTTAAAGTATTAACTTGTATATCAAAACACAATTCGAATTGAATATTCGACCCTCCAAGTAACATTGTATTTAGTCCATTTTTATTTTTTGCTTGGTCTGGCAGACTACCAACTTTGCATTCTTATGGTACTTCATAGTTGATTTTACTGAACTGATTTTTGAACTTTTCTGGACGTTCCCTTTTAATAGTTATAGCATTTGAGAAAATAACTAAAACGATGAGAGATATAAGAACATGCAAAAAAAATTATAAAGAATATCATATAGTAAAACGAATATGATAATGCAAATTGTAAAGGTTAAAACTTTACCAACCTGATAATATTACATTAAATGTGAAGCTAAAGGAGTTTAGCATTTCAATGGGAGCACTCGCTTGCGTTGTTCCATTGATGTAAATCCATCCTTGCAGTTATCAACAGGTCTAGATTCCATGGTTTCGTCATTATCATCATCATCAAGTGTAAGCGCTCCCGCTTTCGCTTTCAAATCTTCAATATCAAAATTCCAGGTACTAATCCCCTTCTGGTACACACTCATTGACGTTGCTTCTGGTTCTTCTGGTGTTGAAGATGATGATGCCGTCTTTGAAGGTAGTTGTTGTTCAGATTCATCATTCTGAAGGGCTTTCACATGATTCAATGGTACTGATCGGAGCTCAGCTAATAATTTCTTCAGAGAAAGCTCAGGAGGCTTGGCATGCTTGAAAAACGAATGCTTCAACAATTTCCCTGCAGTAGGTCTCTTCTTCGGATCTTTCACCAAACACATAGCGACCATGTCTTTAAACGACTTGGAGAATTTCTTATCACCGAGTCTCGGAGGAGCATTCTGCACCGTCATCAGAAGAACCTTCAACGGCGGATATTGCGACAATGGCGGATGACCATGCGCAAGTTCCAACGCCGTTATCCCAAACGACCATATATCAGCCTTGGAATCGTACCCAGTCCCCGCTTGCATAACTTCCGGCGCCATCCAACAAGGCGTCCCCGTAAAGGTATTTCTGCACCGTTGTCTATAACCGGAATCAAACATACAAGCCGAAACCCCGAAATCAGAAAGCTTAACATCGCCATTGTAATCGAGCAATATATTCCCGGCCTTTACATCACGATGGATGTGTCCTTGTCGGTGAAGGTAATCCAACGCCTTGAGTGTTTCTTTCAATATAAAACAAATCTCGATCTCTTCTAATCCGTTGGGATGAGCCCTTTTCATCGACTCAAAACAGGAACCCGCCGACATGAACGGCATGACGACCCAAAGGCTGCGATCAACAACGAACGAACAATACGCTTTGACGAGATTCGGATAATCGACCAACGCCATCGTTTGAGTTTCACGACGCACGCAATCGAGATTGCCATTGTTGCAGCGATCGAGATCCAAACACTTGATGGCCAGGACGGCGTTTAGAGGGAGGTAGATCGCTCGGTAAACGGTAGCGCTGGCGCCATTACCGATCTCTTCCAGAAGCTTGTAATCGGCAGGATTCGCAGAGTAAATCCTTTGAACCCCTCCCGTATTACTCTTCCCTGAAAGCTGCTTTGAAAAACCCTTGTTTTCTTTTTTCATTGGATTAATGGAGAATTTTCGGCTCCAATTTGATACGGCGTTAAAGTTTTTCGTCTCTTTATATATATATATATATATACCCTAATGGGAATATTAATCAAATATTTTAATTAAATTCAAACCAACTTTTAGTCAACTACTATAACTAGAATTTGTGATACGCTTAATGATGTTTTTTGAACTTAAAAATTAAAAAATATTTAAGAAAAATAATGACAATAAAAAAGGGTAAATTACGAATTTAGTACCTAAACTATGATTGTAATCTGTTTTAGTACTTAAACTTTTAATTCTTTTAAAACCATATCTAATTTTATTTTCATTTCATTTTAGTACTCGTCGTTAAAAATAAAGTTTTTAGTATCTAAACTATCAGTTTTTACCCATTTTAGTGCAAAAACTTTTAAATTTTTCAAAATTTAACGTTAAATTTTAAACGAGGTACTAAAATGAAATAAAATCTAATATTTTTAACTACGTGTACTAAAATGAAAAAAAACTAAACGTTAGATATATTTTGAAAAAAATTAAAAGTTTAGATATTAAAACTTATAGTTTAAATAGTAATTTACATTAAAAAAAGTGAAATTCATTAATGTTTCCTTAATTACAAACTCAGATCGTTAATAACTAATAAAAATATTGAAGTCCATTAATGTTCCTTACTTTTTTGGTAAACTCGATTATCAATTAGACATTTAAATCCATTTAATCAACTAATTTTTATTAGACATTTAAATCCATTTAATCAACTAATTTTTTTTTGTTTTTGGTTGACTCAATTAACTAATTGGTCGATTGATCAATTAGATTGGTTTATGCCTTATGGATTAAATTTGAGGAAAGGAACTTCTGGGTAGTTCTGCTGAGACATTCGGATTCAGGAAATTCACCTCACCACATTCATTAGTTATCTTGCTAGTCTTCCTCCAAGTTCCATCCAATTCACAACCTTCAGAAACCTGAATATTTTGTAGTCGAGTTATAACTCAGTTTCTGAGAACATTCAAGCAGCTAATCTTGGAAGTTTCACACGGCTTGATCTAGGTAGCAATCAGTTTACAGGTAAAATTCTAGTTCCCAGTTGCTTCACTATTTGCATTTCATACTCTACAACTTCTAGTTCTCTATCTCTAGATAACCTACATCGAATCGAATCATATGTATGCATCAGCAATCCAAATTTGATTTAGGGTTCGTTCGGTGGGTGGTGAGATTAAAAACAGCGGCAGCAATGAGCTTGATTACTGTACCGGTGAAATGAAAATCATCGGTGGGATGCATATCTGAATGCAAAACCAGCTGTGACAGAGAGATCATCGATGCCACCAGCAAAACTTTATCCGCATTCCTTGCAATCATATCCATAACCTGTAAGACGTGATCCGAAACAAATCGAGGTAAACGGCCAAAATGATAGTGAATAAGTTACAGCTGAGTTCACCCCCAAGTACCTGTAGCCTCTGTCATGTGGTTTGACTTAGCTTTATAACCTCCTCCAGCAATTTGTTGGTTGAATCCCGTACTTCCTCCGGAACTCTGAGCTTCGGATGCTCTTGGTCTAAGGCATATAAAGTAATAACCTTCATAACATCGACCAGAAGCAAACCTTTGTTGTAATTCCCCACACATCCTCATTAGCGTACCTGCACGAATCCTTTAACACGCATTGACTGCAAACCTGAAGAAAAGAGATCACAATATTTATACTATTGGAAGCATAGGTGGGCTCTCGATATTTTATAACGCGCAAACTTTTATTGATACGAGACAATACGTTACAACGACATTACCTCAATATTACAATATTACAACAATACAACACTGGCTGCGGCTACCTCGTTATTCTAAGCTTTGTTAAGTTCTACCCTTTCTCTCATATGTTTGCTAAGCTATTCTCATTCTAGCTTTGCTAAGCTTTTTTTATTCTGGCTTTTCTAAGCCTTTATTTTTTTCTCACTTGTATTCCTCTCATACATTGCATATATTTATAAGGATAATTAAACCTCCTTAATGAAAGATCTAGGTATTTCCAAATTCTTCTTGTATTGCCACATGGAATTCATTTTTTAATGAAATTCCCTTCCATCATCAATTGTCACATGCCATGCTTAGTTCTTAAGTAATTCAAGATCATGCTTCATTAATCAATAATCTTCTAGCTTTTGCCACCTTAACCTTTGTTTAATAATTAAGTATTTCAAAGTATTGTTGCTGTCATGTTTCCATATTACTAGTTATCACCATTCTACCGTCTTTGACTTTTCAAAGTCTTTTGTTGCTAAGTAATTCAATGCTTCTACATTCTTCTTGCCGACTTATGGTTGCAAAGTTGAGTTTGATTTCTAACATATAATAGATATAATGAAGGTTTCTCTTGTTTTAAGTACTGAAACAATGCCTTACGTTGTCTTCTCGAATTTTAAAGATTTTTCTCGATCTCTTAGCTGCAAAGACATTAGTTTTATCAAGAGAAGGGCAGCCAAAGGCCGCTACTTTCTTCAAGCGTGTGCCCGACAGCCATCTGAAAATACAACGTTTATGTCATTTAGTAAAGATTCCCCCAAATATGTGAAATAATCAAGTGTTTTTGCTCTTAATAACAACCGAACGTAACATGAAGAACATCAATCAGCCAACATACATGTAACAATATCAAATCCAAAATGAAAAAGGACAAAGGGAAAAACATGTTCTTACTTTGCAATCTCTTGATGATCTTTAGCAAACTCGTAACCAGCAAACTTGATAAAACCTCTAGCATAATTATTATCAAAGTGCCCAAAATCCAACTTGTTGTCCTCCAAGAAATTAGCTTTGTCAAAATACCCTTTTGAAAACAAATACCTAACGAAAACCTCAACAAAAACCGAAAGATCCTTCAAAGCTGTCACCTCCTCGGATTCTCTCCTCGGTTAAGGTATGCATATCGCATAGGTGAAGGTTTCTATTGTTTGTTTTAGCATATTGAATCCAAGGTTCATTTTTTTTTCAGATATAAGTTTTACCGTTGGAAATCTCATATTTACGTTTGTTTCTGTAGCATTTGTAATTACTATATGATCAATTTTGAAACACCCTGACACCATTGTCTCCTCCTCCTGCAGACATCATCTCAAAAAGGAAACAAATTTATTG